AGATGCGTCTACATGTAAGGTGACCAGATTTTAACATCGGTAAAGCGGGACACCATTGATAAAACTCATATCCCGGCGAAATAGCCGCATGGCCCCCGAAAACCGTATACCCTAGCTTGTAGTGCACTCTTTCCAAAAATCGGGACTTTTTAAAAACGCCGAGGGACGTGGGAAAAAATGTTAAAAATCGGGACTGTCCCGCCAAAAGCGGGACGTCTGGTCACATGCCGTGGTTGCTGTTTATAATCCGATCGCTGCCTCCCACTTCTCTTCATTCACCCGCGCGATCATTCACACTGTTCTGAAATACTCACGCGCCTGGCCGTGGCGCCACCACCCTTCCGTGGTGCCACCACCCTTCCGTGGTCCAGAGCTGTAACTCAGGGTGTCAACCCCGACTCCCGTGGGCTACTGCCACACGGAGTCTTTAGTACTTTGTCACCAATTCTCATCATAGAACTTCACGTGCTGTTATTGTAAATCGCCAACATGAAATCTTTCTTAACTTGTATGAATTCTGACCACGCGATTGTAAACTTTCTACATGACACCATCGTTTTGTCAGTGGTAATATTGCAAACTGAGCAGAAACCTTTTTTGAGTTTTCCTCCCAGTATGATTTCTTGGTCAAAAAAAGTTACTGATACAGGCTCACAAATGCCAGTTTCCACAACAGTGCCGCGAAACTAGACAATCTGGCAAAATCGGTGACTATAAAACCACGAGCAGCAACAAAACCAGCCGCGAGTGCACACCGCCCATTCCGACAAAACCTGCGATTTGAAGTCTCACTGTAACTGCATGGTGACAGTTCTGATCGGAGTGCCCTGCTGAAGTTGTGAGGTGATGCCCTGTCTCACTGCGACTCGATGGCACACTGCCCATTTGTGCCACCTTCACAGTCGTTTCCGTGTGAGTAGCTGCCACTGTTTCGATCCTTCTGTCTGAGAATCTTCTTTTACATTGGCCTTTTGTTTGACCGCGAATGATGTTACCTCCTAATAAGGTGCTCAAAGTACTCAAGGTCAAGTCTCACCATCTTTTCTAAGGGCATTCTGGCTATCCTGTTTCCTCACAAGGTAGACTTGTTCCTTCTTCTGACAGTTCAGGGTATATTCAATATTCTTCACCAACACCACAATTCAGAGGGATCAATTCTTCAGCCTTCCTGCATTCATTGTCTAGCTTTTGCATGGGTAAGAACCAATGTAAAACATCATAGCATGGGGCAGGTGCAACTTACTGTTTAGATGCCATCGTTGCTTTGTAACACTTTAAGGAGGTCTTTTGCAACATATTTTCCTAGTGTAATACATTGCATATCATTTGATGACTTCAATGTTGCTTCCATGAGCATTGCTTGTGCTGCCAAGCAAAAGGAAGTCCTTGCCAACTTCAATCTTTTCTCCGTTTATCACCATAGTGTTTACCTGTCAAGTTGTGAGGATTTTTTTGTCTTGATGTTTCGGCGTTATCCATGCTGAAGGCTGTAGTCTTTGATTGTTATCAATAAGTGATTTAAGTTCATTTCTTTTTTAACAAGCAAGGTTGTGTCATCTACATATTGCAAGCTATAAATCAGCCTTCCTCCATTCTTATTGGTTTCTTAAAATAATTTTCCTCATTGAGAGGTCTTTCCTTAAGGGGCAGGTAGGAAAGAAATTAAATAAACCAACAAGGTGATCGGGTCAGATAAAGTCCCTGAGATGCTC